CCCCAAATTCCCCTTGGGTTTCTTTTTGTGGAGTCAAGTTCTGTGGACAAGCATGGACACGAAGAGGCTTATGTATTCTTTCAGTGGATAAGTGGGCTTTTATACTCCATCATCATTTATCCAAGCAAATGTTACATTTTCAAAATCAAAATAAGCTAAGTATATTAAAAGCCTCTAGTATACCCAGTACAAAATGTATCCAATTTACATAGTTGTTCTCCTCAAACAATGCCTAATTAGATTCCTGGAACAGTTCCCATTTTCCAGCTGAAAATATATAGCCTAACGGCACCCACTTAGCTGCATACGCTAATAGTGCCAAGCTATTACTTATCAGTTTCCCTGGTAAATATCCTCCCCCCACACCCCCGGTATGACAACTGTTGATGTGTATCCTTTTCATCTTGTGGAGGTGTTCAGTGAGAGAGGTGTGTTTCCAGCACCCTAGAGAAGGGATGTGGAGAGTAATGTATGGATGATTCTAATATGCACTTCCCCCCTTCCACTTCATGAAGGAATATCTGTGAAAATAGGAAAGCCACTTTTCTCCTCCTCACAAATGCAGAACATGGAAAGTCATAGAAGGAGTAGCTGGCTGGACATCCCTATGGTGGATAGCTGTTATGTCAACCATATACATTCTGGAGCCCCACTACAACCCTAAGTGATTGGGAAACCCTAGTATAAATATTGCAGAAAGAAATTATCTGCAAGCAGAAACAGGATGCAATCTAGGGTGCTTCCAAATTAGGCTTTTGTTATACAATCACTTTCCTTTATTCATGGAAGTTTGCAGAGGGGGGCAGGTAATACCGTCTTGAGTTTACAGTCTTCCACTGCTGCTTCTGGAAAGCAGCAGCAGCAGCAGTGAAAGAGCTGGCCAAAGGCAATAGCTGCAAGCCCCTGAACCTGGAGACTTTTAAGTGCACAGGAGGGGAAACAGCAGGGTAAATTTCCATGTCCTTCCCCTCTGCCCTGCATTTTCTAGTACATGGATTTTTTCCCCCTCACCTGGCTGGAGCATCTCAGGAGAGAGAGGAAAGCTGGAAAATGATCATATCCTGGCTTCTTCAATCTCCTCTCTGCCCACCGACATGCCTCTTCTCCCGCTCTGAACACAGAATATCCATGAAATACACTCCTTCCTGAGTGTGAGTTCTGATGTTGGAGAAGCACCAGTCATGCGCCATTCCACAGTCTCATCAAGAAGGCTTGTGAGGTTGGGTCGCCATCTGCAAGGCTGGCTTCTCCCTGGAGAAGCAATCTCAAATGTCCTGTGATGATGGGGCACCATAGGAGGGCAGCCATGGTTACCAACCCAGCAAAATATGTTGGGCTTTGCATTGTTTCCTTTTCTTCTAAAATTTTAAAACACCCCTTCCCCAGTTTTAGCTCTCAAATCACCTGCATATAAAGTCATTTTGATTCTTTGGGGGCAGGATTCAATGTTGTGTGTGTGATATTCACCTGCAGAATAAAATCTTCCCTTCCAGCCTGTCTTCATGTAGACTAACCAGCTCCCTCAAGAAGGTTAAAGGGTTTGCGAGGGTCTGCAGGAGGACTGGGAACTGTCCTCTTCATTCTTTTGACGGAAGAGGTCTGAGTAAAAACACAAACATTTTGAAAAACTGGGTTATCTGGCAATTCAGCCTGCCATCTTTTCTACCATTTGGATCATACCTTCTCAGAAAGGATGCAGCAGTCACACTTCCTTTCATGAACTGTCTTTTTGCTTTTCCCTGCAAGCACCACTTTTCTATATATTCTTGTCACAGATTTGCCCAAAGTCTGTTTGTGACTTACTTTCAAATATTGCCACCTAGTAAGCTGCTTATTTCCACAGACAGTCTACTGTTGCGCTTTCAAACACATCTCTAAAACAGTGGATGTTTGTAATTTGCATTTAAAAGTAGCAAAACAAGGAGAGGGCTTGAGCATAATTCAATCATAGAAGATATAAGTCAAAGACAGCATTTCCTCTCTCCCCGTTTCAAATCTGTAAGTACCCACAAAATTCCTTGAAGATGGGGCATGAAGTTTTCTCAGGCACTCAAACAGCATCATTCCCCCAGCAAAAGCAAGGCTTATCTACCAAATGACTGGGAAAGGCAGCATCAGGGCAATTACCTGTACTGTTCTTCCTCACAAGCTGAAGGCCACAAGACATGGTTCCAAGAAACTATCTTGGCGTTTGAACACTGGGAAAGTTCACTATATTCCCTGTTGAATCTTAATAACCTCCATAGCATTCTCCTAGTAAAGACTATCCATCCAGTCAATGTAACTTTCCAGAAAAGTGTCATAAGCACATCACTGTATTCTAGCTACTGTGCACAAAGCATCAAAAGTTGCCCTCTAGAGAAGTAACAGTTAAGACGAACTGAGATGATGTAAGCAAGCTCCAGCACCACTAAGCCTAGGAGACAATTAAAAACCCCAGACTGTACTTCAGGCCAGGTAATCTCTCTCAGTTCCACACACTTCCTTGATTTATCTTGAAGTCTGATGGTGTGCCAGTTTATTTAGAAGCAAGGTCAAGGGATGTGCAGTGGACCTTCCCCCAGGAAAGTGCGCATCACACGACAGCTGTAATCTCACTGGCTGTGCTTCAAGGCAGAGCTAGCATGTGGATTCAGGCAACATTTATTCATTTCCTAATTTCAGTATGCTAGAATATTTCTTATGTCTCTGATGAGCTACTTTAAAATAGCCACTGTATTAAAAAAAAGCAGCAGCAGCAGCCGCCGCCACTGCCGCCAGGGGAGTATCAAATTAGCTAAAGATACACCTCTACATTTTCAGATGCCACTGCAGGAATGAAGTCAGAGGGAAGCCGAAAACACCTCCCCAGCCTGCTCAGACTTCAAGGAGCCTGTATTGTTTTTGAACATGTTCCTGCCCCAAATCTTTTATGCTCCAAACAGAAATGAGGAAGAGACTGGCACTTTGACCATGCTTAAAAACATCAGGGTAGCTCATGGAACTCTGAATTTTGGGAAACTGAAGATTCTTAGTTACTTCTCCCATCACACATTATGCCAAAATTTACCTGTGGCCTTTAGTTTCTTAGGGCTAAATTCTTAGAACACCATTCATTACCAACTGAGGAACTGAAAAAAATGCATTGCAGTTGTTGGAGGGAGAATCTAGATTGTGACCCTGTCAGGGAAGGACTAGGAGGGCATTAAACCTTTGTTTCCTGCTGCACATTGCTGGGGATGCTGCCTTCTGGCCATGTGAGCCTGGTCCAGCCAAAAAACCCAAGATACTTGAACTTGGAAAGACACAAATTCACCTGAGGTGAAAATACCACCCCATGTATTGGATATAACGATGAAATATGGATGCAGGTGATTAATAAGCAAGCAAAAAAGCTTGCACTCCCCTTTTTGTGCCCAATGGGTTCCTTGAGTAGGCTGGGCAATGTGCCATGGGCCTCCAAAGGTGTCTGGGCAAGTGAGGCATGAATTCAATCCCGCCCTCACCCCCAAGCTGAGAAAACCCCGTGGCCATGGATTTTGCATGATTCCTCTTTCACACTATTGCAGAGCCTATCAAAATGCACCCGGGTTGCCTGTCCCTTCAAGGCTCTTGCCTGCTTACCCTCCTTATGGCTTTTTTCATTAACCAGACTTGGACTGGGCAGCCCATCAAATAGCAAATGCCTTCAAATCAAGGAGTGTGTCTTCTCCAGCTCTCCAAAATAGAGGACAATCCTTTGTCAGGTAGGACACCTCACCACCCTAGTTACTGACTGCCTGCTTCCGTCAATCAGAGCATGGATCTATTAATGCCTGAACCATGGCTGGGAGGCCCACACTGACCAAGTGGGGTAGACAGAAGCCTGTGAGTAATTCCTGCTTTATGCTGGCTCAAGCCAAACACTTGGTCAAAAGTAACAAAGTTTCAGAGGATATAGATCTCGATCGCACTGCATCTCACCTACAAAATGAGTGCTCTGTCACCTGGGCTCATCCCTCCTTCTGCTCAGTGCTCTCGGCCTGCCTCCATCACAGGAGAAGGAGACCCAGCACCTGGTGCCAAAAGACTTTTCCCACCACCTTTTGGGCAAAAGCAGCTGGCAGCTCGGACTGAAGAATCCTGGTGTCACTTACTGCCAGTCGACCACTTTTGCCCATTTATCTGCTACTGGACAGCCTCTGTCTGGGTTTACTTCCCAGAGAAGTCCCTTCAGGCATGCTGTAAGAATAACTTTAAATAAGTGCTAGTACGTAGCTGAGCTACTAAAGTAGCCTTTCCCAACCAGGTAGCCGCCCCTGTCTCTGGACCAGTGTCTTAAAATAGGCATGGGTAAGTAGCAGTCTGGCACTTCTGCAACATGACATCTGTGACATTTGCGTCATGCGCAAAACATCCCTTGATCAATACCTGATAGAAAGATGACCTTTCTAACAGTTGCCTGAAGATGCTCGATCCCATAAAAGACGAGTCGCAGTGAGTTGGCGGGCTGAAAGGCCACAGAAAGGAAGCAACCTTCCTTCCTTCCTTCCTTCCTTCCTTCCTTCCTTCCTTCCTTCCTTCCTTCACAAAGCAGGAGGTTCCATGGCTGTCCACATGTAAGCCCTGCAGAACATCCCTGGGGAGAGGATTGCTCTTTGCTTTGCTCTGCTCGGCTTCACTTGGCCCGACTTCCTCCTCTCCTGTTGGGTTAGAGAGAGGGAAGGAAAAGCATGTTAGTTACTGCTGCTACCTGTATGCTCATGGATGTGTGGGAGTCATCTCATCCTCCAATAATGCCATGATGGTTGGGAGACATGGTCATCATTAGGAATTCTGCAGGAGTAGCCATAGCTACCACTTTCCTTGTGCCTCTGGCCATGTCCTTTATGAGCTTCTGTGGAAGGAGGTGAGAACACTGCTTGACCTGTACCAACTTAACTTCTCCTTATTCCTTGGAGGAGGCAGTAGAGGGTTAGGGTTGGGAGGGGATGTCTCGGTCTTTGCTTCTGGTGCAGTAAGGCCTTCTCCCTCTTTTTCAGCGCAGGAAGCATTCCAGACCAAAGGAGCTCGAAACGGTGCCTTCTCTTTGACTGGAATGAATAGAAAGCCCTCATGGGCAGCTCTCCTGCAGCGTGAATGCATCATAACACCACTGAAGAGGCTCTGGTTGAGATCAGTGCAGTTCAGAATTTTCCAGCCCTGCTCCTGATTGACCGAGCGTCGTTCCTAAACACGTACAGTGGAATTTGCTGCATGTCAAAGTCTGACACAGTGTAATGAGTAGTCAGCCCTTCGGTCCCCATGCTGGGAGACTTTTGTAAATGCAATAAATCTTAAATAAATGTAAAAGAGATGTACTGCTGCTGGTTTTTCAAGTGTCTCATGGAAAAGGCTCTGGATAATAGGACTGTAGCGCCATGCTGACATTTCTGCTTTCAGAGGACTTACCAACTGATTATCAAGCTCTGTGGTAGAGATGAGAGTTTTATTTTGATCAAGATATATATTTTTTAAAACTTTCCTTCACAGATCTCTTTATATTTTATGTTGCCTCTCACAGCTAGTGCAGACTCCTGGGGATTTGATCAGCTTGGGTAAGTTAAGCACTATTATTTTTAAATGAAGAGTGTCAGAATTGCAGGAGTATTTTTTGTTGCACAGAACAGCCACTCCATAAATAATACAAAATCATAATGCATTATGATTTCCACCTTTTGATGAGATCGTTTCTTTGTAATTTAGATTGTAAGACATCTCCAGCTAAGCAGGCTCAAGGAACTCTCTGTGGTGCTTAGGCAAAATACTAAGGTTTTACTTGAAGACATTGGAAGTCAAGTTTTACTCCTTCAGGCTTTGGTGAAATGGGAGTTTGTAGTGTTACAGCAAAGATATAAAAACAAGGAATTGCATTAATTGTGTAGAACTAATTCAAGGTAGATTATGTACATGTACAAATGTATATTCAAGCAAAACTCAAGTTCATTAAAGTTCTTCAGACTGCACCTCAAAGCTTGTTCCATCTCATCCCCATATCAGACTGCAACCTTTTTCTTTCCTTTTGGTATAAAAATGTATGCAGATTTTCCCAAATGTACTCAGCAGTTGTGCACATCTTTGACATATATGCCTTCTTCTCCCACTGATCAAAACATATTTGTGTGCATTTTCCAAAAGTACATATATTTCATACCTATCCATCACAGGTACTTATGTGGTCAAAGGCATTTTTGTTTGCTTGCTTTGGTCCACAAATCACATAGCAAATTTAGAAATGTATAGATTTCAACTGCAGACTTTGAGTCTGTGTTTGATCCAGAACGGATATACTACAATAAGGGATCCGGAGTCCCTTCTGAAAACTATTATTTACAGCCAAATTATCCCATTAAATATGATCTTTCAGGATGTTCAGAAAAAAATTATAGATGGAGGATGTCAGACTACATCTCAGAAAAGGGATGTTTTAGATTCTGCAATTTAAAAGCTTTGTTTCATATGATCTGGAAGGAAAATCAAGCAAACTTACCCTGGTTGTAAGTTCTCTAGGTCTGGTCATGAGTAGGGGACAAAGAAGACATATCTACTGCAATTAAATTACCTCCATTCACCTGCAGCCAATTTAGGAATAGAATGAAGCCTAAATCTTTCCTGTTTTTGAAAGATTTTAAAAGAAAGAAGGTATCAGTATAATTTGCAACAAATATATGCAGAGAAAGAATGGTGAGTAAGAGGATATCAACATTGGTGAATATATGTTTATAGAGAAATGTTTGCCTTCATAGCTATGGGAGTTGTGATTATTAGATTTAACTTTGATATGTTTGTAAGTAGCTTTTCTAATGGATGGCCTTCCTCCTAACATTTGGGTGCGTTTTTTGTATATATTAGGCAGATACAAAACCAAGGGTATATCTTCGATATAATTTTAATGTTGATGGGTTATCAGTAATAGGAACTCTAGATAGTGTTGTGAAAATTAATTATTGCAACTTTTCTAAATATATTTTACAGTTTTAGTATGGTTTTAAAATATCTAATGTTTTATTGTGACATTTAGCTGTGCTGCTGAGGAAGGAACTATCTTTATGAAACATGTCAGGGTTATTAAAGCATTTTTCAGGCAGGCGAATGTCTTCTCCTCTTTAGTTTTTACTTTTTTTGCTTAACAGTTTGTCGAAGACATTCAGCTGTATCTCTTTTTTTCATCAAGAAAAGAAGAGATACAGGATGTTCTGAACTTGTTTCTGGGTATGGCAATGAATAGGACAGGGACTTAGAAACAGACTGGTCCACTCAAATGGAGACACTGATACTGGGTAGTTTGTATGCCTAGTTAAGTGGTGTTCAGCCTCTTCTGAAGAGGATTGCTCAGTAGTGAAGGGCCTCCTTTATCAATTTGTCAGACTCATATCCCCATGTACAAGGAGCTTAAGCACCTAGTGTCTGGCTAGATCCAGACTCTCCTATACGAAATTTCAGCTGGAATTTAGACCTGGATGGGGCACTAAAATTGCCTTGGTCACCCAGTGGGGGAGAGGTGGCAAGTGTGTCTACTTTCTTGTCTACTTTCCTGAGCCTCTTAGGAGCTTTCAGTACTGTCAACCATGGTGACTCCCTAGAGAGTTTGTCTGAACTGGGAGTGGATGGTAAGGCTTTGAAATGGTTTTCCTCAGATCTAAATGATTATTTTCAGAAGGTGGTTCCAGGGGATTTCTGTTTGACCCCATGGCATTTGTACTTTGGGGTCCTGCAGGGCTTCATCTTCTATGGTATTTATGATCTACATGAAATTGCAGAAAAAAAGATACCTAAAAATTCAGAGGGCAGTGTCTGCTGATGACATGAAGCTCCTGGGGGAGTACTTAATCCGTATATGGCTTTGTGGGAAGAATCAAAAAGCTAAAGTTCAGTTCAGATAAGCATGAGGCACTGTCAGTGGGTGGTTCACCTGTTCAGATGGGTGCTGCTCAACCTGATTTGGAAGGAGTTGTACTCCCACTAGAGTATGGCTGGGCCTAATTCACCTCCCCGGCTTGTTTTGAGGATCAAAATGAGTGGTAAAGTGGAGAATAAGGGTGAAGCCATGTATACTGTTTCCTTGGAGGGAGGAGAATATGACCCAAAAAAGAAGGAAAGAAAAGTTTATTGGCTTGTATGTGTTAAACGCAACAGTTAGCTTCTCTCCAGTTGTGTGCTTCTATGCACACAGCACATGCATGCTGTAGTCAGACTCTTGTATCTGTCCATGATGGCTGAACCTAAAACTATTAATGCAGCTACAAACTCATAAATAATTGCTCGTAGGCTTCCCAGGGTTCAAAATGCCAACAGGAGGCAGGTGATACACAACCCCGCATTATTGCAATTGAGAATGTGTTGCTGCTTCATCTCGGGTTGCTGACTCCAGAGTATTCAGAAGCTATCAATTGCCGCTTTCATCCAGTGTTAATCTCCAGCAACTGGGAGTTGACAACACCAAGCCTCTGCCTCTTTTAGGGGAGCAGCAGGGCTTTTGCGCCAGCTTCACTGAGTCAGGGAACATCAGGGGGATCTCAGCTGAAGCAGCAGCTCTCAGGAACTCAAGGAAAGGCATCATTTACTGAGGAAAGCTGGTGCTATTTCATCTGGAGAGCAAAAAGCAGCAGCCATTGAAGGCACTGAGTGGGAGCACTAAAGACATGTGGAAACCACTCCAAGGGTAAGTAATGGTGCGTGATTTGAAGAACAGACAATCTTCTTTTGGCTCTTAAGAGCTGCCTCTGCAAAGTAAAATGTTCCAAATAGGTACCTGAAAACAAGTTGTGCAGGGGAAATACAAGTACTTGTACTATAGCAGTCTTAGTTACTAGGGACAAGAAGATTGCTATAGTAGCACCAGTGATCAGTGTAAAAAAGTATCGAGAGTAGGAAAGGTGTCAGCTCCAACTCTGATCTTCCATTGCCAGGCCAATCCAAATACTTTGCCCCACCTCCACATTGCCTCTTTTTAATCAAAGAATAAGCTGAACTCCCATGCCATGTTTAGGCTGGCTCTAGAGGAACATGGGGAGAAGTTAGTCTTGCTTGTTATGCATATAGTCAGCATTCACATTTTTTTAAAAAATGTAAATAGCAAAGGAATCTAGACTGGGACATGGCATGTGGGAAGCATAAGATGGCCACTTATACCCTGTTCCAAAAAGAGGAAATGCATTACCAAAAAGGATATGAACAGCTATAGAGCTGTATAGCTATCACATGAGCTGCTCTGTATGTGTGTGTAAATAGAAATACAATAGAGCACAGTGGGCAAAACTATGATCCAGCTGAGCTGTGCATCTCTCTTAGCCTGCTGTCCAGTGCAAATGGTAGATGGGCAGTGTCAAGGCCCCTCCCTTTTCTCCCTCCTTATGGTTCTTTAAACTAGACTTGGACTGGACAGACCTGCAAATAAGCAGCACCAAACTGAAAACTGTCTTTGGAAACCCCTTGCAAGAGAAGGCTGTCCTCTGCAAAAAGCACACGTGGCCACCCTAGGAGGTGGTTCCTTTGTCCCCATAGCACTCCCAAACTATGTTACCTTCCCCTGGACCTACTGTTTACCATGGCAAGGATGCTGCCATTCCTGGGAGATCAGGCCACAGTGGGGCAAAGGTATAAGGACCTAAGAGAAGGACCAAAGGACCATCCAGTCCTGCATGCTGTTCAGCCAGTCTGCTTGCCATGGGAAACGCACAGGCAGGACATGAGTGCAACACCACCCCCAATTCCATCCTTCCCAGCAATTGGTGCAAATAAGCATTCTGGAGTCAGCATAGAGCCATCAACACTAGTGGCCACTGATAGCCTTCTCGCCCATGGATGTGTCCAATTCTCTTTAAAAGCTCTTCAAAGTGGTGACGACTGTGACAGCCTGTGGAAAGGAATTTCATAGTTTCACTATGCAGCACATGATGAAGTACCTCCTTTGACCTGTCCTGAATCTTGCAACAGCCAATTTCATTTTATGAGAAAAGGCAGAAAAATGTCTCCCTATCCACTGTCTCCCCACCAGGCATAAATCTGTACATCTCTATCATGCCTCCCTTTGCTTGACTATCTTCTAAGCTAAACATCAGGTATTTTAACCTTTCCTCGCAGGGGAGTTTCTCCAGCCCTTTTATCACTTTAGTTGCCCTTATCCCCTCCCCCTTTTTCCAAGGCTATAATATCCTTTTTAGGTGTGGTGACCTGAACAGTACACAGAATTCTAAGTGTGGTTGCACCATAGATTTGTACATGGGGAGAAGTTCATTGGCAGTTTTATTTTCAGTTCCTTTCCTAATTATGCCTAACATGGAGTTTGCCTTTTTCACAGCAGCTGCACCCTGGGTCAGTATCAGCTCCCCACCACAACCCAGAGATCTCTTTCTTCATCAGTCACTACTAGCTCCGATTCCATACTTGAAGCTCCCCCCACCTTCCCACATACCCTATTATGTCAATCCAGATTGGCCGCCCCATTGCAGCTGCTGTTTGCTTAAATGAAATAATTATGCAACTGCAAATTGCATGCCTAACATCACCCCCGATGTTTCTGAATTTTTGTTGTCTGGGTGGGGGGGTGTCATTTCTT